GCTGGTCGTAACCCGAAAAGTTCATTAACAGAGGCGTTCATAACCCGAGGTACCACTGTATTCCTCCCTTTCATGGTCCCAGTGATGCATCAAGGCAATAGTTGCTTTTCTCCTGCTATAAAGATCACTTTGGGAACTGACTACAGAACTACAATAGTCTGTCTTCTATGAATTGGGCAGACTAGAGTCTGCTATTTGCATTTTAATATAACTCTGTGGAAGATAAATTTTTAGTGCCACTTATGTTTTGTCTGTATATAGAGAAGTAGAGGGGAAAAAGAATTCAGGCAAGGCGTAGTCAATTTTACTTAAAGGCACAAGAAAACTCACTGGGACAAGACCAAGAACAGTAGTTCCAGGAACAGTATAATCTAAGGACTACCTGATGCGTTTTTAAGTTGTCCCCAGCAATGGAGTTACAGATCATATTTCTCTGCATATAAACTAGGCAATCCATTTTCCAGGATCACTGTCTTACATCTAAAATATTAAGTTATATTTCTTTAAAATAACTTAATAAAGAAAGTGGCATAATAGAAAACATCCAATATATATATTGGAGATGGAAAATATTAATCATGGAATTTCTGGTTGTGCTCTGTCATTTAGCAATGGGCCTTCTCCACTATGGGAATGTCAGGGAAATTTGCTTGCTGCCACTCTGTCCATACAGTTTTCCATATCAATGTGTCAAATACACATTTGTATCATATATATGAAGAACATGTTCAGCAATTTAATGCAGAAGATTTTCAGATTTCTTCTACTATATTGACTATAATGTTGCAAAAATATTTTGGCCTGCAAAGATAAAGCAAAGCAGAATAATGGTTCTTAGCACAGAGATCTTAAGAATTAACTTTCCTAGTTTTTCCAGACTGGCTAGGATGAAAAGGCTTGCATAAGAGTTAATTGTAATGATTATGCTCAGTTCTTCCTTGTTTCATATTAGTAGCATTTAATTTTGAACATATCATTTTAATCTCATGTAATCGGTACTTTGTCTTTCCCATCCCTGAATCTTATTAGGCAGTTTTTCCTTTTACTAGTTTTACTTTTAGAGAGAATTAAATAAGATGAAAGTGAAAAAAATACTCATCATGATAATAATTAAACATAGTATTAATACTTATTGGTATTTGAAATCCTTTTGTTCCCTAGTCTATTTCAAGATGGCCAACAGAAAGTGTAATAAAATCTTTATATATTGCTCAGTAGAATCCATTAATGAGGAAGATCTCAATATATCCACGTCCAGTAGCAGGGAAGACAACCAAGGCCTAAGCAGAGGAAGTGAGCAAGTGGGGAAGTCACAGCTAAAGTTGCCAGATGAAAGGGCCAGTTCTGTTATTTAGCATTGTGAGGCAGTCACCTCAGATGACCAATGCTGGGAGGTAGCAGCGAGAAGTTGGAGAACAGAACTATGCGTCACACAGTCCTTCAAACACCCTCTAAGCTGGCCTCCTGCAAGCTGTGACTCCCTGCTAGCAGTGAATCTCGTGTAATTCCCTGCCTTTATAGGCTGTAACTCAGTGATAGAGCACATACGATGTATGCAGATGATCCTAGGAACATTCCCAAGTGGTCACATTGCCAGTGTAGAAGAAAATCCAACTGCCTGTCCAGTCAGATGTTGTACATTCCCCAATTCATTGGCAGCAATTTGCTTTAGGCTGCAGGGAAGACAACCAAGGCCTAAGCAGAGGAAGTGAGCAAGTGGGGAAGTCATAGCTAAAGTTGCCAGATGAAAGGGCAAAGAGGGAGCAGGAAGGCTGGCAGACTTTCATGTTTTCAGTTATGTAACAGTTATGCAGGAATCAACAGCTTTTCATGATCTGGAGATAAGGTTATCACCTGCAGTGTCTCCATATCAAACGGCAGTTACAGGACACAAATCAGTAAAAATATTTTTTAAAAAATAAAAGTTGCCACTCCTAGCTGAGGATCCTGCAGTGGAGGGCCCAAACCCAAGGTCCTAGGCCAGAAGAGAGAGCAGTTGAAAATGAAGAGCAAGTCAAAAAACAAGCAACAGGCACAAGAGAAAAATAAGTAATGGGGAGTTTAGTAATAGACCAGCAAGGAGCAGCCCATTGACTTCACTCAGCACTAAACTGTTTGGACGGGGCACAGGATCTTTTGGACAGGGCAGGTTCTTATTAATCTCATCGCCTAATTCTCAAGATCATGAATTTACTTCTGAGTAACATGTACAGAATTATATTGTAAGTCACTTTCAATTTTAAGCAAACACAGAATAGATGTGACATTGGATTGCCGTTTTCAAAATAAATTACAGTCATCTCGTCACTGGTAGGATTGCTAGGGGTAAGAGTATTTGAATGAAATCATTGCTAGATGAAGTAATTGATTTATCCAAATGAGTCATCCAAGTGCAACTTAGATGCTATTAAGTTTCCTTTTTAAGAAATGGGATTCCTTACTGGACTGTAGTGTATCTCATGCACATAATTCAGGCCCATTGGCCCCACTGAATAATGAGGTGATAGTTAAATTATGTTTAGAGAATGTTTATTCCATTAACAAGAAGATGGTGTAATATATATTGAATGTCTGTGAAAAATGTGAAGCATAGCAACGACTGGGGAAAGAACAGTATTCCATACTTGGTAAAAAAACAACAGCAACAACAATAGCGAAGCCTTAATTTGAAGACAAAAGATAGCTTGAAGGGGAAGTTGTCATGCAATCAAATTGATGGAAGAAATGTCCTTTGTCACTGACGTAAGCTTCCTGTGAAGTTGCTAAAACAAGAATGCATGACCTGAGGTCCCAGGATCATACACCAGCCCCCAAGTCTTAGATATGGCAAGCAGAAGCCTTCCAAAAGTTGCTACTAAATTCCAGTCAAAATGAAATAAAAGAGGGAGAGCTTTAAATAAGGGCAGACCTACCATATTTGGGTGGCAAAACCCCAAAGAACCAACAAAATATGTTCTATATTTCTTTACTGCCATCTACCGATCATCCAGATTTTTGCACTGCAGTTATGAAAGGCCTAAGTAAGGTAGAAGACACAGTTATTTAAAATAAGTAAATCAAATTCATGTGCACACATACATGAACCCTCACACAGATACGCAGATCTCGCCCCTCTCCAGCCCAGCCATTCACTAGCTTCCTACTGCCATTACTAGTCAAGCAACCAGTGCTCAGCTCCCGGTTAGTCAGATGGTCACCTGGCAGGCAGATCTCTGAACAACCGAAAATCTGAGCAGGGATTTTCATGATTCTGAGAGCCTTGGTTTGTTGTGTTTTGTTTTGTGTTTGTAGTCATTGGCCATTGTAGAGGTTGCATGTGTATACAACGGGTATGAAATAGCACTATAGTTTTGCCCTTTGTTATGGTACAGCCCCAATTCACTCTCCTGTGAACAAATTCCCACAGTAAAGGCATTCTCCCTGCCCATTCTCAAGCCGCCTGTGGGCGACACACGTACTTGCCAAACTCTGGGATCTCTAGAGCTGTGGGCAGGTATTGTCCCAGGCCCAGGTGTGGCCGAGCCCGTATACTGGTGGTGCTGATTTGTTACTGTATGGATGAGTGTGTTTCTTTACCCCGGCTTGAGTTTTCTAGGTGCGTTGCCTTTCTGTTTTTGATGTTTTCATGCTGCTGTTAGTATCATTAGTCACCCAGAGTCCAGAATTTGAGATGGGTTGCCATGTAAATTGAAATTATTAATAAATAAACCAGCCGACAGGTTTCATAAAAACCATCCTGTGAATGAAGAGCATTTTGCGAGTAACCTTGCAATGCGCTGCCAATCACTCTGCTCGCTGTTGCAGAAGGACCTAGTATGAGCTTTCTCATTCTGACACCAGTTTGCAATCTAATTATTAAGTTGCTGTGGAGCAGCCGAGGCAGAACTCGGAAGAAATTGCCTTTTTTTTTTTTTTTACAGCAGTTATAGAAACGTCCACAGTGCTATTTTTATGCGTGAAAGCGGCTTTTGAACTTCAGTATAAATTAACATTCTTGCTCTACCTATTTGGCCTTGCCTTTGCATAGGGATGAAGAGCTAGCTGCCGGCTGAGGCTTTACAGTTTTGCATCCAAGACTCTGTAGGAAAAAGTTGTTTTTAAATTCCTGCACAAGTATGGCATCTTAAAGAAGTGCCTCTGTATGCTGGGCTATCTTTTCTCTCTTTTTATCCAAGGTGACATGAGGCTGCTGTACTGAAAACATTCATTCGGTTAAAGCAGCTTGTAGTCTTTACCTTTGATTTTTTTTTCTTTTTTTACAAAATACATCCAGTTGTATACTTGGGATGGATTTTAAGTAACAATAAATTCTCCTTTAATGGTAGTGAAATACTTGTGCTTGGAGCATCATAAGATTAGCAACTGCTCCAGGAAAATAGTATAGTGGGGGGGCGGGGGGTAGATATCCAACTATGCTTTGAAATTCAAAAAGAGAGACAACTAATTAATGCACAACTTGGGCTTCCTTCTAATTTGATTTTGTAGAATGGCAGCCAAGCTGATCTTTTCAAAGTAATGCCTGCCTCTTTTTTACTTTAGGTTACAGTTAAGTTGGTATATTGAAGCTGTTAAAATAATCACTTCTCCTCCAACAATTGCAGGTGCAGTTACAGGCAGAAAAGGTCTGAAATGAAGAGATATGCTATGATTCCCTTTTTGTTGTTGCTACTTCGATTCCTTTTGTGACTGAGCCACTGGGCTTAGGTGGATTTAGTTAATATTTATCACTGCCTTATAGCCAGAAAACACACTATACTTCAAATATTTTTTTATTTCATACTGTAATTCAAATATTCAAATATTTCAAATATTCAAATATTCAAATAATTCAGTATATAGGATATATACTGAAACACATACATCTAAAATCTATATATATAAATAAAAAGTAAGCATAAAATACAATAAAATAGTATAATGATGATGATGATCACTCAGATTAATGCTATTCTGCAGTTATCAGTGAGATGAATAGAACAAATAGAGGCACTGAATCAAGCATCAGAGTCTTGGTCAGACAGAAGAAGCCCCAAATAAGCTTTGTATTCTCTGCCAGGTATTTCTTCAGAATGGGATCCAAGATTCCATGTAAACTGTACAGTGTAAAGAGAGCAAAAGAGGAGCATGTGTCTCAGAGCTATCCCCACAGGGCGCACGTGCTGATGTAGAGGGATATTTTTACAATACCTTCACAGAACTGCAGAGGGGAGTGCATCCAGCCTGGCCAAGGTGAAGACGTGGAGAAATTTCAGAACTCCTTCAGAAGAAGGAAAGATAGGATGATAGCACATATCCATTTGGGAAAAAAATCCACAGACCATAGGAATAAATACTAGGCTTAGATTAGCTTGAAAATCAATATTCCAGATACACTGCTTAAGATCTGGCATTTTCAAACCCTAATGGACAGAGGGTTTCCAAAGAGAGACCTAAAGACTGCAGTTTGCTATTAACTCTTTTTAGCCAAGTTGATTTAAAATGGTCTCTAATTTCCAATGGGGCCAGAACCACAGGGGGGAAAAAACCACTGGGCTAAGGTTGGTAGAACATCAGTTCTAGACTCTGCAAGTCTGAATTCTGTGCTTTGGGCTAGATTGTTTAGATAGATCCTGCTATTGCTGGAAAACCATTTGCCAAATAAGACTGCAAAACAGAGTTGCTTGAAGACTGCAGGAACAGTGACCAAGAGCAGGAACAAAACTTTAATGCTGGTCCAGCATTTGACTTCTGTATATGTACACATGTAAAGCAAGACTTCTGCTAAGAATCCATCTCCCTTTCCCCTATAAAAGTTAAAACACTGAGCTCCTTGGAAGTAGGAGCAACAGTACAAGAAAAATAATAGTGTTTCTTTTCACTCTGCAGATACATTTGCCAGCAAAGTAGCAGCAACACAAGATCAATATGCAGATGCTTCCATAGGTAACGTCACCGGTAGCAATGCTGTGAATGTTTTCCTGGGAATCGGCGTAGCCTGGTCCATTGCTGCAATCTACCATGCAGCCAATGGGGAGTCATTTGCAGTCCAGCCAGGCACCCTGGCTTTCTCTGTCACCCTCTTCACTATATTTGCTTTTATCAGTGTTGGCGTGCTCCTCTACCGGCGAAGACCAGAGATTGGAGGTGAGCTAGGCGGGCCACGGACTGCCAAGATTCTGACCTCATGCCTCTTTGTGCTGCTCTGGCTCTTGTACATATTTTTCTCATCTCTGGAAGCCTACTGCCACATAAAGGGCTTCTAAAGAAACTATTGAAGATAGTATCTATATGTATCTATATATAGAAAGAGAGATATATAGATATAGATCTAATATTATTGAACAGAGGAAGAAAAGACATTTGCCATGTTCACTTACCTGTTGATGGAATGTAGCTTTGTGGTAGGAGTTTGAAATCTGCAGGAGTCTTCACCAGGAGCAGCAGCATTGCAATGGAGACATGGATGCAGGGCCATCTTTGCAACTCAGCCTACAAGGTCATGATGGAGTTTCTTTGTATTTCCCTTTCCCCTCCCTCTCTAAGGAGCAGTTGGATTTCAAAGGGGGTTGTTTGGAAAGACCAACGGCCAACTTTAAGTTATATCATATTGGGCGAATGACTTAAATGGGAGTTCTTGACTTTCTTACCAATATCTTTGTTGCCTTCTTCATTAACTCAAGAACAAGCTGAATCACCACCCTCAATGACACATGTGAGTCTAGAGTGACCAACACAATCCAAGGGGGTTCTAACCCCATGCTGTTTGTTGGGGAGGGTAGTTGTGTTTGGTTTTTTTGTTTTTGCTTTTGCTTTGATCCCTCCTTTAGTGCCTGGTTGTTCAGATGTTATGATACCACAGAAATCCCTTTCCCATTTTTTTCAGAACTCTATTTGTGACCAGCACCCTCTTAAAAGAAAAGTAGCCACCTAAACCATATTTAACCAGTTCTCCATTTGCTCCAAACTGTGGATTATAGACTCATGCCCAAAGCCCTAGTATCCACCTCTAGCGTTATTTTTTCCTGTATTTCTGACATATTTTGTCAGATTAATTTCAGTTTCCTCCCATGCCCTTCCCATCTGCCAATATTTGCTGCTATGCTCCTTCTCATACTCCAGTTTGGGAATGCTTTCATTGTACTTGTTGTAACACTTTGCATGAATGAAGCAAACCATAATCTGTAATATAGCATTGAATAGTGATAGTGAAGCTGACTGACCACTGAAGATGCAAGCGTGTTTTTTTCCACGTCTTTTCTTTTCAATGAACAGGGTGAGTCCAGAAATGGCTGGTATTTATTCTGTTGCTCTACATAAGGTTCCTAAGAAGCAATAACCAAGAGCTGGAGAGAGACCTGTTTTAAAGGGAAGTATCTGTGCAAGTTTCATCACGTAGAAAGGGATCCGTTTGCCAGCCAAGCATAGGACAGACAGAAAGTTGTTTATACTGAGTCAAGCCAGTGACCTATCTAGCCCAGGACTCTCATTGAGAGTGGTTCTCTGAGGTCTCAGGGAGAAGCTTATCCAGCCCTGTAACTATTTTAACTGGTGATTCCATGAATTGAACTAGAGACTGTTGACATACTAGCATGTGCTCTACCACTGAGTTATGGATGAATTAAGCCTGTTTGTGATTAGACTGTTGGAACTAATTGGGACTAAGCGTTGTTCATTTTAAGTATGAATAGCTGTGCTGAAACCTAAATCACCAGAACATCCTTGAGCTTTTTTTCAGTCACCCATTTTACCCAGAGTATTTATGCTGCATGTGCTCCAGATGCCAATTCTTTGGTCTCTTGCGTTGCTTATTCTCTCTGCTCCTGCTCTTGCTCTGTGGAAACCTCTAGACCTTCGTAAAGGGCAACCCACCATCAGAATACTGTAATTCAAATTTACTCTTTTGTGCTGGAGTTAAAAAGTTCTACCACCCATTGGCCTTCAGAACAACAACGGGTCCTAGCACGAAAAGTGGCACTATCTGCATTGTCTGGCAGTGAATTAGCATTTATCTTCATGAATTAGAAATGTCAGTATTGTTATTATTTGATCATTGTCAACAATGTACTCAGCAATGTTCAGAGTACATTAAGGTACCAAAACAAAGCTTTACTTGGGAAATACCATCCAGGGACAGTGCAACTGAACAGTCCAGTGATATTTATTTTGTAGTTGGTTTGTCTATTGATTTTTTTCATGCTTGCTCCTTCTAAACTTTTTCATTTATCAGAGTTCCCTCACCACCAGTCCTGAAATATCTAAAGCAGGCAATTCAAAAAGGGGATTAGGGAGAACGAAACTATTGAAATAATTTATTTTTCTTTCTTAACTAAAGACAGGATCTATTTCTGGGTGCCAGAGAAGTAAAAATGTGCATGACTTCACTACTTCCCTGGTCACATGGAAGCAGGGTGGATGGTCATGTACGCTACAGGGTTTATACCTTAGAAATTATCATATAAACACTTCCTTATTGCAGTGGTAAGCACACAATAGGCCTGTTTTTGAAAAACAAAACTGACAGATAATTAGGGGAAGAAGAAAGCCATTCACTGTTTCCATTCCATAAAAATGTAGTCATGCTTACAGTGATTAAGGAGCTGTTCTCTGGTGTAGCAATGGAGAATCTATGGTCCTTTGGATATTATTGGACTCCGGTTTCTGCCAGTATGGCCAGTAGTTCAGAATCATGGGAGCAATATTTAATAATATTTGAAGAATGTCTTAGGTTTATCCACTTCCGGTTGTGAAAATGCAAAGGTATATGTGTAAAATATATTTCGCATTGTCACTTTAGCAGTGCTGCTGGATGTCAACGTTGACAAAAATCTATAGACATATTTCCAAGTATTTCTCCCAAATATAGAAAGGTGATATTCTGGCACATCTTTTGGAGTTCATAATTTCCCCTTTATTCAGTTGGCTGATACAATTTTTCTATTACCACGATCCATTTTCACATGGACAATGACATACGCATCCAGTGGGAGCAAAGCAGCTGTATGAATTCACATCCATAAAGCCCTAGAATCCTAAAATCATACAATCATAGAGTTAGAAATGACCGTCCAGGGCACTGAGTCCAGCTACCTGCTCAGTGCATAAATTAAATGGAAAGGCCAGAACATCAATGCTGTAGAAAAAAATCACTCTATAAAACCTCAAAAACATGAGACATATTTGATGCAGTGGGGAAACTAATTGTATTACCATATAATGACTGAGTAAATAAAGCAAACTATAGGGACAGAATTTTTTATGCACATAGAATTTCATACTAGATTTCTGTCTGTATATGCAGCCATTGAAATCAATGGTAATTTTGCCAGAGTAATGAATCAGAACTGCCAGGAATGTCTCAGGTGTTTAGGGATTCCTAATGGGTACTTCATTCAATACAGTGGCTACAATTTTCCCATTCATTTCAGTGCAAAGGCCACTGTGCAGTTGCAAGTTCATTTGTGCACACAGAAAGCTTTAAAAGGCCTAGTCTGCATCACCAGTGAATGTAGACATTAACTACAGCTATCTCAGATCCTTAATAGCCTCTTTTGGTCTAGCTAGCAAGTCAAAAATGTAATTGTTCTCACATCACATGGTTAAAAGGATGGCAGTTAGACTAAGCTTTCAATCATTTTGAACAATCTGTGGAATGCTTGAATTCTGAGTTTTTTTTTTTAATTTCTTTTCCTGTAAATTGTTTTTCACTTTTGAAGGCTTTTTGTTCTCTGTTTAATTTCATTTGATTTGTCTACTGCGGACTGGGGGAAAATAATATTTGGGTTGTTCAGGGATTATTATTATTAATAATAATAATGATGATATGATTATTGTTTGTGTAAAATTATTTCATTTCATCTGTTTTCTTTCATTTTTATTGATGTGTGTAATGCACAGTAACAGAGAGGCAGTGTGTACACTAATTGTGATCAACAGTACACTGAGACACAGATAATAAAATGTATAATTAGTTCTGATTTAAAGATCAGTACTGCTACATTTTCCCTCTATGCTGTCTCATTATTTTTTTGATTAATTCATCTCATTCAGTTCATTTCATTGTTGTTGCGTTGATATATTATTTCCTTAGACTAGAAACATAATAGATTCTGCAAAATCTGGGAATTGCATTTAACAATCAGAAATTTTCTGATGCCTCAACTCCAGCTAGAAAATGCAGTCAGAGAAACAACTATGTTATTTGTAAATTCCCTACAACACACACTTATTATATTTAAAACACTACCACAAAAACATACTAATTCAAAATACATAATTTTACATTTAAAATTATATTAATAGGCTTTCATCCTTCAAAAAGTAATGTTTTTCCTTTTCATTAAACACATAATCAAATCAAGGAATTTACCCCAAATTTCACCTAATTACACACATAATGATATTTCAACAGGCAAAATTTGAAATTAACAATCGTATTAATTTTCATATAATCACGTTTCATTTCAGTACTGAACGTTAAGCTGTTTTTAAAGTTCCATTTCATATATTTCCTCATCTTCAATTGCCACTGCCCTACAGTCAAATACTAACATCTCAACTGAAAAAAAATTGCATGCCAAAAAAAAAGATTCCCAGAGTTGCAATGAATGCAGGTGTGTCAGACTTGTAATCCAAAGAGACCAGAGGCAGTGTGTGGCCCCGTTAGGAAACAAGATCAAGGATCAGGGGCTCAGAAGTAGGCATGTACTCAAAACAGGAAGAAGTCATTATTCAAGCTAGGGAAAGAACAAGGGAAGGTAGCCATTTGGGGCCAAGACATGTTGAATTTTGATAGGGTTGTAGGTGTTCTCACAAAATGGCTGCCACATGGAATAAAACTCCGTAACAGCTGACAGGGTGCTATCTGCCACTACAATTTCCTTTGTCTTTTCCTCTGGGTAGATCTGCACACTGCAAACGAATTAGTCACAGCTACCCATCATTTCGTCTTCTAAGAATGAATTAAGAAATGTTAGAGGCCTTCTGGTAAATGAAGATTATGTTTTGTGCCAGTTGTAGAGTATCAAAAGGGGAGAAGCCACTATATACTCCAGAAAGATACAAGCTCCAAAGTAGTAATCAAGTAAAAGGAACAGATACTTAGGTAGCCTTCTCATACCAGAAACAAATTGTTCAGACTGGGGAGTATGGCCTGAAGATACTTAAGGTTTTATAAGGCCTGGCAGATCAAGATTGGGCCTTGAGAGATGGTTGCCACTAAGATGATGTTCTCAGCTGAGTTTGCTAGGTGGCAATAGAATCAGAATGCAGAGAAAGTAGGCTGAGGAAGGAACATGCTGGTGTATTGACTCAGGATCACCATCAGTCTGGCACGTTAAGGAATGTTTACTCCATCCATCCTCATTATAATGCCAGCCTAAGTCCCACTCCAGTGCTCATGTTACATATAGTTAATCTCATACACATACAAGTAATGCATTGAAAATCTTACCTTACAATCTCACCTTCAACCATGCTCTCCATCACAGCTCTGTGGGACAGAGGGAATCAAAGTTTGACTTATTATTTTGTTAAGGGGCTGCAAAATTCAGACAACCACTATGGCAGCGAATGTGATATCATTTCTTTGCTACTATCTAGTGGTCTTCCAGATGTTTACTGCTCAAATCTGGTAACCCTCATTTTTGTAGCTCTCATAATGTACAAGAACATTTATATAATTATGGAGATTGTTCTGTTTGTGGCTCCAGAACCAGAAAGCTGTTTGTTGTTAATGTTAAAAAATGTGTGTAATTATGTAATCCTGCTGGTGCTGTCCATCACACACAGGCACACACAGACTTCTTTCTCCCCGTAAAGTAATTGCACTTCTCAGGTTAAAAGAGGTCTATTTTTTTTTTTTTTTGGTATGATAGCCTTTTCAAAGCATGCAGAAAAGATTCTCAATAGAAAGAAGGTTCATATCTCATTAACCATTCCATTAATACAAAATCTTCTGCTAAGAAAGCTTTATTAGAACCCAGGATCCCTCTAAGAATTACAAATGGTATCTTTGCCTGTTAAAATGAACAGAAGTTTAGCATTACCACCCAAAGTTGTGGGGTAGGTGAGGTGGGGAATGGTCACAGAAGACTGCAATCTTCAGCACACATGCACTACAGTAGTAGAGAATGCTTTGTCTGTGAATAGATATTCAACGGTCCAGTTTCATGATAGGCAGATTTGCAGTCCTGTGCAATCCCCATGGTTCACTATAATCTTTTCTTCAGCTAGGTAGCTAGAAGAAAAATCACACAAAGATACATTAGAGTCTTTCTCTGTGTTAGGTTGGAGCCAAGTCATGATTCAGTTGCCAAAAAGAAAAAAAGGCAACCACCACTTTGGAATCTATCTGTTCTCCTTGTTCAGTGCCAGCAGGAAAAACCACTTTTAATTCAGTGTCAGCAGGAAAGCTAGTTATGATTTGGAAACAACTGCTTCTCCTATTTTATCATTTATGCAGCATTTTAATTTGAAGAGTGCTTTGCAGTCTTCATTTGTTCACTTTTGCAATATCCATCACAAGCCTGCCCCAACACAGCTGAAACCAAGGCCAAAAGAAGTCTAGGCAGCATCCATCAGTAAAAAGTTAATAAATAGCTGGCAATATAACAGCACTCCAAAATCTTACGTTGGAATCACATCACCCTGTCTTAACACAGCTAATTATAACATCATGAAATCACTGCTGTTCCTGTTTTACAAAAGAAAACTGAGAAGGACAAAGACCTGATTCAGATGTTAATCTATGATATATGGATGGAAGATTAGAGCTGGTTAAGCACTATCACTGAGTTCCTATCCATTCCCATGTAAAACTAGCACAGTAAGGCTCCTTCAAAGGATTTCAGAGTAAAATGCATTTTGAGAATAATCTGGAAAGCCAATGGATATCAGTAAGGAGGGTTGGAGCCTTTGTTATTGGGAAGTTCAAGTCAATAAATGGCACTGCAATCAGCAGAAATGTAAAGAAAATAATTAACAAATGGACAAATGAATTCAAGTGCACTGAATGCTAAATCAACATTAAGCAAATTCCTTACAGGTTCTAGGTGAGAAGTGCCCTTTCCACCATGCTTTCTCATTCAAAACAAAGCAGCCAACTGAAAAACTCGACACTGTTCAGAAATTTCTGATAGTTTGGTACAAATACAATCCAAGGCAACAGCAGAACAAGATTTTTGAATCACAGGATGTGACCACAGAAAGGAAACAGGGCTAAGCACTAGATCTGTTGCTCTTTAAGGAGGGCAGAGTATGGCTCCCCACTAAAGATAAACATGTTAAGATGGATCAGAAACTCTAAACGTTGCCAAACCACTTCCAATTCCTTTACATGAACCATTGTAGTAATGCAGTGGGCTTCCATCTGAAAAAGAAAAGCCAAGGGAAATTCAGCAAGAATCAGACATCACGATAATATACGGCTCTTGATGGTAGTGTGAATCTGGAGGCACCTGGTTGGTAGGCACATGTTTTTAATAAAATGCGTTAGTCTAAAAAGGTGCTACCAAATT